GAGAGCTGGGATACGTTGGAGTGGACTGAGAAGGGCTGGGAATGTACAAGAGGATGTGGGAATGACTGAAATGGTCTGTGTGGCATTGGGAAGGACTAGGAATGAACTCAGAGGCTCTGGAAATGACTGGGATGGTCTGGGAGGGACTGGGAATGGACTGAGAAGGACCCTGGCGGGGTTGAGAATGCTGGGGGCAATTGGCACTGCTGGTCTGCCTGATAACTGATGAGTCATCAGAGAGACGCGCTCTGATTGGCTGAGGGGCGTTAGAGCTGGATGGCACCGCCAAGATGGAAACGGGGGCGCACTGGGAGAGACTGGGATGGACTGGCAGAGACTGGGGGGCACTGAGAGAGAGGGGCAAGGGCTGGCGATGGGCAAAAAGGCTACGGCGATGGGCAGTGGGAGGGTTGAGGGGTCTGGGGTGGAACCAGGGAGGGTCTGAGAAGCTCCAGGGTCATTCCCGGGGCAGGGCCGAGGGCACCCGCTCTGCCCCGCGCTCACCTCTGCGGTTCACCAGGAAGCGTTTCGATAATTGGTAGTTGGGCCTACAGAACATGTTCGCCTGAGCCCTCGCCTCCTCCAGCCAGTTCGAGTTGCTGTTCCAGATCCTGGCAATCTCCTCCCCATACGGGGTGTCCCCCACTAAGACCCCCACATCGCTGTCGAAGTGGACATACTGCTTCCGGTTGTAGATGGATCTCTCCACGAACCTCACGCGGTCGGTGCCGTTGATGAAGTGACACTCACTCGTGGACAACTCCAGGAACACCCCTGTATGTGCAGGTCACAGATCAGGGGGTGTCCTCCCTACCCCAGCAGCTCCCAGCACCAACAGCACGTTGGGAGCTCAGGGGGCCACCCCAGACCCCCCCTTTCCCACCTCCCTCTGCCCCACGGACCCCGCAGCACCAGCTCTTGGCTGGGGGGGAACGCCCCCATCAGCCCCCCAGGGATGGAGAGGAGGGTTGGGGACCCCCCCAGTGCGGATCCGACCCCCACCCTCGAGCCCCAGGAAACCGCTGTAGGGCTCCAGTGATGGGGGACACCGAGGGACCCCCATGACACCCCTCTTCCTGCTCTCCCACCCCCCTTTTTCCCCTCTCCCAAGCCTTTCCCACCGTCCCTCCAATCCCCAGAACCCCCGGTGCTCAGTTTGGGGCTCCTACTTCCCTCCCACTAATTCCGGGCGTTCCAGCCCCTCTCCCACTCACTTTTAGGGTTCCCACCCTCTTTCCTCCTTCCCGCCACCCCCCCCGCTCACCCGAGAGCTCCTCGCCCGCAGCCGGGGGGGCTCCCAGCACCACCAGTACCACCAGTACGGCCCCAGCTCCCTGCACACGCTCCATCCCCAGCGCCGGGCAGGTGCTGACACCCCAAAACCAGCCGGGCGGGGCCGTTTTGGGGGGTTTTGGACGCGTTCTGATTGGCTGAGGGCAAAATCGGGGCCCTTTTTAGTCGTGTCTTGCCGGCAACTGATGAGTCATCAGCGCAGCGCACTCTGATTGGCCAGAACTGCGTGGGAGCTTCCTGATTGGCTGAGGCCGTTGGGGGCGCTGCAGCCCCGGGGGTGGGGGGTTCTGGGGGGTCCGTGGGGTGGACCCGGTTGGGAACAACCCCCGATCTCCCCCCGGGGCCCGAGGGCGGAGCGGGCCCGGTTGGGAACACCCCGCTCGTCTCCGCCGCTGCAGCCGCTTCCCCTGCTCCGGCTGCCGCCGCTCGGCCCCGGCCGGTCCCGCGGGGGTCGCCGCTCCTGACGCGGGTGGAGGGGTCGGGCCGGGCCGCGCCCGCTGGTCCAGTCCGGTCAGGGGCTGCCACGGGGTTCTTTAGAGGATGGCTTCGAGGGCGAGATTAAGGCACAAAACTCCAAACGTTAGGTCTCAAACAGAGAATTGGCTTTATTGGTAACAACAAGTAAAAGGGGAAAAGCGGGGAGTGGGGAGGAGAGAGAGAGAAGGAAAAGGAAAGGAAAGGCTGAAAAAGGAAAATGCAAAAAGTTGCCAGCACCAGTGAGAGAAGCGGGTGTAGTCAGCCTCAGGCAGTCAGGGAAGGGCCGCTGGAGGGAAGCAGACTGGATCCGGAGTGAGCAGACTGGATCCGAGACAACCAGGAGACGCAGGCAGGTGGGACACGAGCAGGACAGAGCGAGCAGTGGGGCCCTCAGCCAGCACGGGACCCTGGACAACACCGACTGCATTGGACCGGACCCTCGGGCAACGCTGGGCACTGCCTTAAACACCCCCCGGTGGGCGCTCAGCGGCCAGCTTGGCTCCGGGCAGAGCTTTGCAGGGTGTCGGTGGGTTGAGCTGCTGGTACCCAGGCAGGCTGGCTCTGCCAAGGCAGGAAAATGGACCAGCTTTGTGTTGGAGAATCTCTGACACCCGCCCGTCCCTCGGGGCCGCTCCTCCGGTGACACGGGCCGGCAGCTTTTTATTCTATTTATTTTACTATATTCTCTGTACTTTATTCGATCCCCACCCGACCCCCGGAGCTGCACTTTCAGTGGACGGGGCAGCAGAGGCCCCTCATCGCTCCCTCACACCCCCCGGGACCGCCCCGGTGCTCCCTCGGTGCAGCTCTTTTAGGTACCAGGTGGCGGAAACCCCTCGGCGCAGCTATTTTATTCCATTTATTTTATTCTCTATATTTCATTCTATTTACACCAGGCAGGTGTAAAGAAGACCCCCCCAGTGAGGTTCTTCCCGGCTGTTTTTTGGAGTCACCCCCGGGGCCTCAGTGCCGAGTGAGGCTCTTGGTTTGGTTTCATCTATTTACGGATTTGTTGGATTCTGGTATTTATTTGTATATTTTATTTATTTTCTTGTTGTTATGTATTTATTTCTACAGCTTATTTATTCTTGTTTGTCTATATATTTGTCCCAGGTTGGACTTGGCTCCCAGCCAAGTGCCTGGACCCCAGGGACAAAGCCTTCCCCCTCCCTCTCACTCTCGTGTAATTGACCGAAAAGATCACGAAAAAGAAAATCAAAAGAACTCAAACCGAACTGAATTTTAAGTGGAAGATTTATATATATATATATATATATATATATACACACAAAGAAAATTATATACAGGGAACCCCCCAAAGGGGAAAAGGGAAGGGAAAGGGAAAAGGGAAAAGGAATAAAAAGGGATATAACGCAAATACTTCCCTCCAGAGATAGCGAACCACACCACACAACCGCCGGCACTCTCTGCCTCTCAAGGCCAACCAGATGCGCTAGGCCTCACTCCCTCGCCCGGGCAGAGCGACAGCAAAGCTACCTTCACCTTCGGTCCACCGGAAGAAAGAGAGCGAGAGTTTCCTCTCTCTTCTTATTTATACTTTTGCTTACGTAAAAATCGTATGGAATACTGGGAACATGGCCTTGGTTCCTTGGTTACAACCTGGTCACCAAGGAAGGCCTAGTCTTAAAACTACTACAATATTTTATTTATTTATCTATTTCTTTAATAGTATTTATTTTTATCTGTTTATATATTATTTGTTTCTTTATTTCTATAATTCATTTGGTTGTTTTATATAATTTTGTCAAGTCATTTATTTGCTTGTTTAATTTATTTATTTGCTTATAAATTAATCTATTTTTAAATTTTCAATTATATATAATGTTTCAATTACTTGTTTTATAATTTTCGATATTTTTATGCAATTTTATCATATAATTTTATTGATTAGCATATATACTCTAATTCATCTGTTTATGTAAGTTTGTTTATTTGTTTATATCATTATATTTGTTTATATAATTTAATGTACTTGTATCTAATGGTTTGTTCTATAATTTTAAATATTTCTTTATGTAATTTTATTTGGTCATATTTTATTTATTAGCATCTATAATTCAATTAATTTTTATATAATTTTATTTTGTTTATTAATTTTTATATGTCTACATAGCTTTATTTTATTGTTTAATTGTAACCATTAGCTTATTTAATTTTATTTAATTGATTATAGTTATTTGTTTATATAATTTTAGTTATTAGGGTATATAATTTGATTTATTCAATGATATATTATTTATCAGCATAAATAATCTAATGTCTTTGTTTATACAACTTTATATGATGATTTATATAATTTGATTGAATTGTATATATATAATTTTGTTTCTTTGAATATGTAATTTTATTTACTTCCTTAAGTAGTTTTATATATTTGTTTAATTTTTACCATTAGTTTATCTTTCATTTCTTTATTTACTTGTGATTATTTTTTATATAATTTTAATTATTAGCATATATAACTTCATCTATTGATTTATATAATTTGATTTATTGGCATATATAATCTGATTTCTTTGTTGATATAATTTTAATTATTTGTTTATATAATTTATTTCTGTAATTTGATTTATTTATTTCTATAATTAGTTTTATCCATTTCTATAATTTTTTTAATTACATATAGAAATTTGTTTCTTTGAATATATAATTTGATGTATTTCTTGATATCTTTTTATTTCTTTGCTTTCTTCCCTTTTCCCAGCCAGGGCCTCTCTGGTTTCTGGGCCATGTCCGGGGGGTCATTAAAGCTGATTCCGGAGGGGATTGCCCAGTTTGCAGGGACAGCCCCAAAGGCCACCTTTCCCTTTCCCTTTCCCTTTCCCTTTCCCTTTCCCTTTCCCTTTCCCTTTCCCTTTCCCTTTCCCTTTCCCTTTTCCCTTTTCCCTTTTCCCTTTTCCCTTTTCCCAGCTGGAAAAGGCTGGAAAGGCTCCAGAGGAGCTTCCCCCATGGCACACTTGGTTTTCCAGCAGGGACAGAGGTCTGGCAGTTTTGCCAGAAGGAACATCGGGATTTATTCCCAGAATCAGGAAATATTGACCAGAGGGAAGTGCAACCCATACTTACTCCGAGTTTCCCTAAATCCAAGTGTTTCCCAGGAGTGAAATGCCGAGTGCTGACTCACAGATTCCAGGGCCGGGGATTCTCCAAACCTGGTGTCTCAGTTTGACAAGATTACAACTTAGAAATGAAGACACTTCAGGTGGAAGTGTGGGAAAGGAAAAGAAACAGCTTTTTATTCCCAAAAGCTGAACAACCAACCAATGGTGCCACCAAAACCTTTCCGAAGAAACCAAACCAAGTCCCGAATGCCCAGGTGGGGGGAGGAACCCACGGCAAGGCAGGCAGGGGGCGGGGGAAAGGCAGGGCTGTGCCGGCAGGTCAGAGCTCTCGCAGCCACGTGTGCTCGCAGCCAGCCTGGAAAGGGCCTTTTGTCCCCCCAGGCAGTCCCAAAGCAGAACCCCTCGCTCCGTGATGGGTCGGTCTCTCTCTCTCTCGCTCGTCCTGCGCGAGGTGTCCAGCGGGGAAACAAAACTTCCTCTCAGGGCAAGAGAAAGAGGCGGCCGAAAACCGGGCTCTGCTCCGTGCGGTGCCGCCAAAGCCCCAGAGCCCCGAACAAAGGACTCCCCGCCCTCCCCGTGGGCACCGCGGTGTCCCCAGAGCTGCCCTGTCCCCACTGCCGCTGCCCAGTGCCTGCGGCTCTGCCCCCACCCCATCCCGGGACACATGGATGGGGGGAATGGGGGGCGACACTGGGAAAACATTCCAGCAGCTCTTTGCAAACCTGACACCTGGTTCCCAGACATTCCCAAAGAAGGGGCTTCCCGGGGCCGTGGCCTCGAGCGAGGGACCGACCTTTGTATTGAACCAGCTCCTGGAGAGACACGTTCCCCTCCCTGTCCCCATTCCCATTCCTGCTGTCCTCATCCCTGTCCCCATTCCCATCCCTGTCCTCATTCCCATCCCCGTCCCCATTCCCATTCCTGGTGTCCCCATCCCTGTCCCAATTCCTACTCCTGGTGTTCCCATCCCTGTCCCCATTCCCAGTATCTGGTGTCTCCAACTTGCTCCCAGTGTCCCCATCCCCATTCCCATTCCTGGTTCCCAGAGAGGAACTCTCAGATGCCAGAGGAGGGAACCAGGATTTACTGTCCAAAGCAGGAGATTTTCACACCACAATTAAAGCCTCAGCAATAATTGTGCTCCTGGGTTTCACACATGGAAAAGCAGGAAGTTGATCCATCGGGGAGAGCTGCAGCGGGCTGGGCTGGGTGGGAGCAGCGGGATGAGCTCTGCCAGCAGCTCCTGCCTTTCCCCAGGGGTGGATCCAGCTCCGGGATCGCTCAGGCCGTGATTCCTGCCGGGATGAGAGTGGGGAAAGGAGTCCCCATGTCCCTGTTCCCATCCCAGGGGATGGATCCGGCTGGGGAGCCCATGGAGAGCAGCAACTGCTCCGGATTCCCTCCTGATCCTGCTCCGTCCATCCCACCCCAATCCCACTCCAGAATCCAGCCCCGATCCCAGCCCACAATTCCACCTGATCCCACTCTGCAATCCTGCCCTGAGCTGCAATCCCATTCCAATCCCGCTCCATCCATTATGCCCTGATTCCCCTCTGGAATCCCGGGATCCATCCTGGCATCCCTGCAGAGAGGATCTGGATCCACACACGCTGCTGGTACTCACTGGTGGGTGCAGGGTCGTATCCATTGCCCTCCCTCTTCCCTATGGAAAGAAAGTGGGATCAGCACCTGTGGCATAGGATCCCCGGAATGCTGCCAGGCAGATCCGGGCCCCTTCCCGACCCCCATCCCGTGAGTTACCGGCTCGGAGCTTCCAGACACCGACTGCGACGAGGCCGATGATGACGATGATGGCAGCGATGACGGACACAGTGACCAACACCGGGGTGGAATTCCAGACGGATTCTGGCTCTGGGAAGGGTGGGGGGGTGAGCAGGGAAGGGTTACCCTCATCCTGCTGCCCCACACTCCCAAATTCCTCGTTCCCACATGCCCAGTTGCCACATTGCCCGTTCCCAGGCTCACCCCAGGCGAAGATCCCGGGCTCCGGCATTCCGGCGTGCTCCACCCGGCACCGGTACTGCTCCCGCTCCCCCGGCAGCGCCTCGATCCTGGCCCAGCTGTGGAAGGTGCCGTCGCTGTTGGGAACGATCCCGCCCCACTCCGTCTCCTGATCCCGGATTTCATCCCCCTTCATCCAGTTGATCCCGATGATCCCGGGGTAGAATCCATACGCGTGACAGGACAACGTCAGGATCCCGTGTTCCTCTTTCCCAGACACGTGGACATCAGGGGGCTCTGGAATGGGATAACGGTGAGATCCATCCATGGAATTCCCATAGGAATGGGATTGGAGTGAGATCCATCCACAGAATTCCCATTAAAATGGGAAAACAGTGGGATCCATGCATGGAATTCCCATGGGAGTTGAATGACTCAGATTCATCCATGGAATTCCCACGGGAATTCCCGTGTTCCTCAGTTCCACCCTCCCAAATCCCACATTCCTAAATCCCACATTCCCACGGGAATTCTGTCTCCCTCACCTTTGTGCTCCAGCGCCTCCCGCCCGTATCCAACGTATTTCCGGAGCCATTCCGGACAGATGTTCCCCAGGTAATGTGTCCGTCTCTCCACCTCGATCCCATCGTGTTCCCATTTCCTCTTGGTGATCTGGGCAGCTCCATCGGCCGCCACGAAGCTCCTGGATCCCAGCTCGAAGGAGAGGAAATCCTGCCCATCGTAGCTGTACCGACTGGATCCACGGACGCTCCCATCGGACAGGAGGTCACAGCCATAAAGTGTCTGCACTGTGTGGAGACCTGGGGGGTGGGATCAGATCCATGGAGACCCTGGAATTGTGTCCCAGCCCCACAGAGCCCCATTCCAGCCCTATGGAGTGCCTTGGATCCCCATCTCAACCCCACACATCCCATCCCAGCCCCACACATCCTCCCGTTCCCCAGCTCCCCACACTCACCCCCACTCCAGTTGTACCGGGCCCCCACTGTCTCCAGGTCAGCAGCAGCCACGAGCCGATTCCTCTCATTTCGCTGGGTCCCTTCATCCCAATATCCTGGCTCAGGTCCAGCTGCCATCCACGGCGTCAGCGGCTCCATCCGGCCCCGCTCGCTGTCGTAGCGCACAAAGGGGATCCCGTCCACGTATCCCAACATCATGAATTGAGGGATCCCCGGGCTGGGCTCCGTCACCGCCACATCCAGGTAACGCAGGGAGTGGAGAACTGGGGGCACACAGAGATTTGGGGTGTCCAGAGGGGTCATGGGTCAAGGAAAGGGGGAATTGGGAGACCTGGGAGAGCCGGGAAGGGGGTTTGGGGATCCCAGGGCCAAGGAAAGGAGGATGTAGGGACTGGGAGAGGTGGGATGGGGCATCCAGGGGTCCCTGTGCCCAGGAAAGTGGGGCCTGGGGAGCCCCAGTGTTGGGGAAAGAGGAGTCATGGGGTGAGGAGACCCAGAATGTCTGGGAAAGGGGGTGCAGGGGGATGTTGGTATAGGATAAAGGGGTCCAGGGGGGTCCTGGTGCCAGTAAAGAGAGTCCAAGGGGTCCCAGAGTAAAGGAAAGGGGTGTACAGATGTTGATAGAGGTGAGCTGGAGGGTCTAGGGGGTCCCTGTGCCCAGGAAAGGGGGGCCCAGGGGTCCCTAGTGTTGAGGAAGGGGGGGGTCACACAATGGGGAGACCCAGGATGTTTGGGAATGGGGGTCCTGCAAATCCTCAGTGTAGAGGAAAGGGGGCTGGGGGCTGGGAAAGGTGGGATGGCTGGAAAGGGGGCACAGGGGGGTATTGGTGCAGGATAAGGGAATTCAGGGGGGTCCCTGTGCCAGGAATGGAAGTTCAGGGGGTCCCTGTGCCCAGGAATTGCTGTCGAGGGCGTTCCCGGTGCCTGGGACCCCCCTGCAGGAAGCACAGGGAGGGAAGAACTGGGGGGGGTCACAGAGATTGGCAGGTCTGGGGTGTCCAAGGGTCAAGGAAGTGGAACTGGGAGAGCTGGGAGAGCTGAGAAGGGTCCAATGTTCAAGGCAAGGGGGGCTGGGACTGGGAGAGGTGGGATAGGGGATCCAGGGAGTCCCTGTGCCCAGGAAAGGGGGGGTCCAGTGGCCCCCGGTGTTCAGGAAAGTCACGTCTGGGGGCTGGGAAAGGCAGGAATGGGGGTCCAGGGGGTGCCAGGGTCAAGGAAAAGGGAGGATCAGGGGGCTAGGAAAGGTGAGATTGCCAGGAAAAGGCGCACAGGGGGGGATTTGTTGAGGCTAAGGGGGTTCAGAGGGGTCCTGGAGCCGGGGATGGGGGTGCAGGGGGTCCTGGTGCAGGGTAAGGGGCTGCAGGGGGATCCCTGTGCCTGGAATGGAGGTTCAGGGGGTCCCTGTGCCCAGGAAAGGAAGTCCCAGGAGTTGCCAGTGTTGAGGAAAGGTGGCTCTGGGGGCTGGGAAAGGCAGGAATGGGGGTCCAGGGGCTCTCAGGGTCAAGGAAAAGTTGAGTCTGGGGTCTGGGAGAGGTGGGATGGCTGGAATGGAGGTTCAAGGGGGTCTTGCTGCCACACAAGGGGGTAAAGGGGGGTCCTCGTGCCCCAGAATGGAGGTTCAGGGGGGTCCCAGTCCCAGAGAAGGTGGGTCAGGGTGTTCTGGGTGCTGAATCAGGAGGTGCAGGGGTGTCCCCATTCCCAGAAATGGAGGTTCAGGAGGGTCCCAGGGTCAAAAGAAGGGGGGTGAGGGCACTGGGACAGGTGGGATGGAGGTTCAGGGGCTTCTTGTGCCCAAGAAAGGGGGGTCCAGGGGTACCCAGTGTTGAGGAAAGGGGGGCCTGGGGACTGGGAAAGGCAGGAATGGGGGTCCAAGGGGTCTCAAGGTCAAGGAAAAGCAGGGTCTGGGGTCTGGTAGAGGTGGGATGGCTGGGAAAGGGGTGCAGGGGAGTGTTGGTGCAGGATAAGGGGGTTCAATTGGGTCCTGGAGCTGGGGATGAGGGTCCAGGGTTGTCCCAGTACCCCAGAATGCGGGTCCAGGGGGGTCCCAGTGCTGGATCAGGGGGTGCAGAGGGATCCCTGTGCCTGGAAATGGAGGTTCAGGGTGATCCCCGTGCCCAGGAATGGGGGTTCAGGAGGGTTCCTTGTGCCAGGAAATGCAAGTTCAGGGGGGTCCCTGTGCCCAGGAAAGGGGGGGTCCAGTGGCCCCCAGTGTTCAGGAAAGTCACGTCTGGGGGCTGGGAAAGGCAGGAATGGGGGTCCAGGGGGTGCCAGGGTCAAGGAAAAGGGAGGATCAGGGGGCTGGGAGAGGCAGGATTGTCAGGAGAAGGGGCACAGGTGGGTATTTGTTGAGGCTAAGGGGGTTCAGAGGGGTCCTGGAGCTGGGGATGGGGATTCAGGGGGTCCTGCTGCAGGATCAGGGGGTTCAGGGGGGTCCCAGTTCCCAGAAATGGGGGTCCAGGGGTGTCCCTGAGTCGGATAAGGGGGTGCAGAGGGATCCTTGTGCCAGGAATGAGTGTCCAGGGTGGTTCCCGTTCCCAGGAATGGGTGTCCAGAGGGGTCTCTGTGACCAGGAATGGGAGTTCAGGGGTGTCCTGGCGCTAGATAAAGGGGTTCAGGGGGTCCCAGTGCCCAAAAGTGGAGGTTCAGGGGGATCCCTGTGCTCGGGAATGGAAACTGGGGGGGTCCCAGTGCAAGATAAGGAGGTTTAAGGGGGTCCCGGTGCTGAGGCAGAGGGTGCCGGGGGGACATCAGTGCCCAAATATGGAGGTTCGGGAGGATCCCGTGCTGGGGAATGGGTGTTCAGGGGGGTCTCGATGCCCAGGAATGGAAACTGGGGGGTCCCGGTACCGCATAAGGAGGTTTAAGGGGGTCCCGGTGCTGAGGGAGAGGGTGCGGGGGGGTCCCGGTGCCCGGGAATGGAGGTTCAGGGAAGTGCCGGGGCCCGGCAATCAAAGTGGCCGAGTTGCCCGTTGCGGGGGTCCCACTTACCCTTCGGCTGCCCCCCCGAGCCCCCCGGCAGCGCCAGGAGCGCCAGGAGCGCCCCCAGCCCCAGCGCTGGAGCCATCGCGCTGCTCCGCTGGCCCCGCCTGGCGCAGTTTGGGAGATGGAAAGCGAAAGTGCCCGAGGGAGCGCGGGGGGCGGGCACGGGGGAACTGCCGGGAATTGCCCGCGATCCCCTTCGGGACCCCTCCCGGCACCGCCCCGGGTCCCCCCGCCACCCCCGGGCACCCGGGACGGGCACGAATCGCGGCACCCCCGGCAGACGAACCCAAACACGGAGCCCCTGTAATAAACTATATTTTAAAGGGGATTCTTTTTTGTTAGGCTTAGTAAAACTTCAGGACATTGATATGTGATTTCCGTGTGTATTTCCCATATATCTGTTAACTGCCTCTAACAAGCTGGCGTTTGTTCTCGAGGCTGATAAGAAGGGGGGAGGGAAGTCTGGCACTGTAATCAAACGGCACCGGCTGGGGATACTGAGGAGCTTCCTCTAAACAAGAAGTCAAAGTGATTTATATAGACGATAAGACTGGAAGGGGAGGAAAAATACCTACTAAAGGCGCATGCTCCAAGCCGGGTTCATCTTGCGGACATCGAGGAAGACTAAAAATCTTCATCACAGAGACCCCGGCCCACAAAGAAACCCCCAGACCACGGACGCCGGTAACACAGCCCAGGAACATGCATGGGGAAAACTTTACAACTGAGCATGTGCAAGAAGCACATGCCCCGGACTATGTATGGATAAGAACCTATGTACTGAGCATGTCTGGACGGCGAACCGGGGGGTTCAAAAGGGGAAGTTTGAGAGCTTGAGGGGGGCGAGCTGTGAGAGAACTTTCTTTTGTTCTAAACAGCCCCCCCCTCCCGGCGCGCCGATTGTTTATCTACCGCTTACTAATAAATTTGCTTGCTATTGTAAATTGGCTCCTTCAACTCCTTTAAGGCATTGCTGGTAACCTATAACACTTGTCACAGCTCCTCTACTGGGCAGTAAATAATTCTGATTGAGATATTTGTCCTCAATCATTATCACAAAAATCCTAGATATGTATTTATATAAATAAATCTGGTTTGTCGTCCAGACCCCTAGGATGTCACCGTGTCACTGCCTGGGAGATCCCAGCTGGGCATTGGTCAGCTGAGCATAAAACCTCTTGGCTTTTATTTCTCTTTTTTTTTTTTTTTTTTAATCTTCCTTTTCATTACAATTATTAATAATGCTGTGACCACCTGTAATTATTATTATTTTTATACTTTTTGTTTTTTTTCAATTATTAATTTTTTTCCTGTCTCTGCTGACAGATTCTGGGTGTTTTAATGTGGATTTAAAAGATCCACACAGATGTTTTCACGTGGATTTAAAACATCCACACGGGTGTTTTAATGTGGATTTAAAACATCCACACGGGTGTTTTAATGTGCATAGCCATGAAATAATTAATATATCATTTAAAATGCTATTCAATTATCAATTTGTGGTATCCAGGGGGGGAAACAAAAATCAACTTACTAGCAGCCTGCTCGTGGAACTCCTTCCCACCTCGCTGTTCAGCTGCCTCAGTGGCTGTTTAATCAAACCATCCAGCAGGTCAGGATGTAAATATGAATTGTTACAGTGTCTCCAGTTAAATCCAGGCTTCTCAAAAATACAGAATGTAAAGTGTGTGTGCGTGTGAGGAGCAGCTCTTAAGAACGACCATTTCAAAGCTGCTTTTTCCCCCCCGAGTGGGGGGACACGGGCAGGGCGAGGACCCCTCGGTGGGCTCTGGGTGATGCCCCGAGGGTGGGGAAGCAAAGCCTGGAGGGGGGGTTTGGGAGCTTCAAAACCTTCACCATCAGTCCCCTCCAGCTCCAAAACGTTCTCCTCACATCCCTGAGCGTGGAAATTCCCAGAAAATCCCTCAGGGATTTCCTGATCCCGGCTGTCACCCCCCCTCCCCCCGGAGTCCCTTTGGATGCAGCAGGAGATTCCCTGCCTGATTCTGGGGCAGAGCTGCTCAGGTCACCCCACAACCCCCTCTGTGGTGGGGACAGCTTTGCCCTTGGGGACTGTGGTGGTTTGATCCTCTCTGGGCAGTCTTTGTCCGCATTCTCCACCAAAAACGTTTTGTTTTGTTTTTCATTTGGGGAGAATAATATTAGGATTTATTACTAGCAAAATAAAACTGAAGAACTACATCTACAATAATTCTATTTGTGTAAATACATAGTACTTTTACCTAAATAAAGTTTTATTTTGCTAGTAATAAATCCTAATATTATTCTCCCCAAATCAAGTCTCTTTTATCTGCATAAACCTTCTCTCAACTCACAGTAATTGTGTGTGGGGTGTGAGAGCAAATTAACCCAGAGCAAAACCACGACAGGGACACCGGCAGGGACACCAGGGCCACCCCCCCGAGTGGGACCCCCGGACACCTCCAGCCCCGGGAGCCCTGAGCGAGTGGAAACCACCACCACCACCACCATCATCATCATCATCATCATCATCATCATCATCATCATCATCACGGCTAATTGAGATTTGAGAAGCCATCATTTACCTGTAATAATTTATCTGGTTAAAGAACGAACCGAATGCTTTTCCCAGACACATCTGGCGAAGGATTTCTCATCTTTCTCCTGCCTTTCTGTGTCTTGATCGTGTCATTCATCCTTAATTCCTGTTATTTCCTGGCCCTTTCCAGTGCTGGTGTCTGTTCTGTGATTTCAGTCCCTTCTCCTTCATTTGGGTTGATTCACTGAGAGTAAAATAAACGAGGGAGGATCTTGGCACTGCTCCTAAGGGAATGTTCTGAGCTGAGTTTTCCCCCTTTCCAAACTGTTTTCTCCTCGATGGTGAAGCAACCAGGACTGGATGGGCAGGAGCTGAAAAACAAAGCTGTTTATTTACAGAAAGAGCAGCAAAAACAATGGACTAAAAGACGTGTTGACACTGCAAGAATCTTTATAAACCAGAAGGTATAAAATATATTTACATTACAAGGGCCTGGATAACAATAAAGGAGAGGGTGATTGAAACCTTTTACACAACGTTTTTGTCCTGCAGGAATAAGGGTGGCAAACTAGACGTGTTTATACAAATATATATATTTCTATAAATATATATCTCTTTATTATATATTTATAGAAATATATTTTTCTATATATATTTCTGTATTATATATTTCTATAAAGATATTTTAATCATATATTCATATAAATAATAATTTTTATATTTATATATAACATATGAAGACTGGCCATTATTATTATTATTGTAAAATATATTTAATGCATTTATATATTAAAATATTTATATAATATATTATATATTTATACATTATATATTACTAATACATTAATATCTTTAAAAATTATTAATATATTTATCAATATATATATATTGATATAATATATTTATTATGATAACGATTAGACAAAAAGATCTTAATCAGAACCGTTCACCACCCCGGTCCAGGAGCTGTAAAACGTGATATAAAAGTGCCCTGGGAAGCAACTCTGAAGAAATTGTGTTAAAGCAACTGCACTAAAGCAAAATAATTATTAACAATTATTAATTAGAGGTTGATGTCGCTCCCCCAGACCGACGACGCACCCCCCGCCCCTCTTCTTCTTCTCCTTTGTTCCTCCCCAGCCCAAATCTTCATTTCGGTGGTCCCAGTCCTCTTCCCCGCTCAGTTTTGGAGTTCCACCCCCCCCCTCCCCGCTTTTTGGGGCTCTGCCGGTGTGGGTGGGGGGGATCTCTGTGAACGATAAAGGGATTTGGGGGAGATTTTCTTTTTTTTGGGGGTGGCCACCCCAAGCCCCCCAAACGACCCCCCAGGGACACCCCCCCAGCCTCGGGAGGACCCCCCTCCCGACCCCCACGGTTCGGGATCCGGAGGGATCCGGGGGGGGAATTTGGGGGGTCCTTGGGGGGGCTCCCGGCTCGGAGCGAACGCCGCAGCCAATGGGAAGGCAGGGATCCGTGACAGACAGCCAATTAGACCAATAGAAGAGCGTCTATCTCGAAAAGGCCCGCCCACGCTCCAGCAAATGGGAAGCGAGGGGGCGCTGACGGACAGCAGGAGCAGCCAATGGAAAGGCGAGGCCCCGCCTCTGGGGCGGAACGCGCTCTCTGAGTGGCGGGGGCAGCGCGCAGACCCGGAAGTGGGGGCGCCGGGCGGGCGGGCGGTGAGTGGGGGGCGCCTCGTTGGGGGTGGGTGGGGAGGGGATCCCCAAAAGTGCTTCGGGGGGCTGGGAGGGGTCCCCGGGCTTGTTTAATGTGTCCCTGGGGCTCTCCTGGGATAGCGGGGCTGTTTTCGTTGGGCTGGAAGAACCCTGGGGTGGTTTGGGGGTCCGTAGGGGTGGGGGGACTCGGGAGGGGCCCCGGGTTGATTTAGGGGGCTGGGGGATGTCTCAGCTGGTTGCGGGGGTGAGGGGGCGGCCCTGGGCTGGTTTTGGGGCCCTTGGAGAGGCCTTGGAGGGGGGGGCTGGTTTAGGGCTACTGGAGGGAGGGGATCCCTGGGCTGGTTTGGAGGCCCTTTGGGAGGCTCAGGGGAGGGGTGCTGGTTTGGGGGTCCCTGGGCTGGTTTTAGGGTCCTTGGAGAGGCCCTGGGGGGGGTGGTTTAGGGGTGCTCGAGGGAGGGAGGGCGTCCCTGGGCTGATTTTGGGGGGATTAATTGGGGTGATTTGGGGATTTTTGGCAGCTTTGAGACCCCCCTTTTTTGGGGGGGGGAGGAGTGCCACCCCAATATCCCCGTTTGCCTCCCCCTCTTCCTCCCACAATTCCCCCTTTTTCACTGGAATATCCCTGGATTTGGGGTTGGTTTAGGGGTGCTGGAGCGAGGGAGGGGGTCCCTGGGCTGGTTTTGGGGTCTTTGGAGAGGCCCCGGTGTGGGGGGGCTGTTTTGGGGGTCCCTGGACTGGTTTGAGGGCCCTTTGTGAGGCCCTGGGGTGTGGGGGGGGCTGCTTTAGGGAGTCCCTGGACTGGTTTTGGGGGGATTAATTGGGGTGGTTTGGGGATTTTTGGCAGCTTTGGGATCCCCCCCATTTTTTGAGGGGGGGTCCCACCCCAACATCCCCTTTGCCTCCCCCTCTTCCTCCTGCAAGTTTTCCCTTTTTTTACTGGAATATCCCTGGATTTTGGCCTGCAGGGCCTCTCCGCGGTCCTGCCGCGCCTCGCCCGCTTCCCGGAGCTCCGGAGCCTCCGGCTGCCCTACAGCAACGTGGATGTGCGGCGGGAGGCGGCGCCGGGAATTCGTGCTTGGCCACGGAGCTGGGAAAGCTGCGGGGCCTCCGGGAGCTCAACCTGGGATCCTCCAGGCTCTCCGGGAGTTTGGGAGACGTCCTCTGGTAAGTTCCCCTCCCTTGCTGTGATTCCGTTATCCCGCAATTCCATGATTTCAAAGCACCACGATCCCGTAATTGCTCCACTCCAGGATTCTCAAGGGTTGAACTTGAACCGTCTGGAAGGCCTTTTCCAACTTTAATTCCTCCTTGGCCCTGTGATCCCCAGAGTTCCCAGATTTCCCTGTTTCCAGAGGGCAGCCCATGCCGCATCCCGGAGCTCTGCCAGATGCTCCCGGCTGGCTCCATGGCTCCAGAATCCCCTCATCCTGTGATTCCCTGACTCCAGAACCCAATAATCCCATGACCCCGTGATTCCATGCCCTCCTAGCTCCATGATCCCATGGCTCCGTGACCCCACAGTTCCAAGGCTCCCTGCTCTCCCCAAGGCTCCACAATCCCACCATTCTCACAGGTTGAATTCCAATTCCTGGAGCTCTTTTCCAACCTCAGGGATCCCCCAGTTACCCCAGTGAAGGGAGTTGTAGCTCTTGTTCACCCTGCAGGGAATTGGGGGGGCCATCCCGACCCTTCCCGTTTTCCTGGAGCTCCGTGACATCACGGGGGTCACACCCTCTCCTTCTTCCTGCCCCGGCAGCGAACTCCAGACCCCTCTGGAAAGCCTGGAATTGGCCTTCTGCTCCCTCCTGCCTTCCGACCTCTCCTTCCTGTGCCGGAACCCCCACGCGCCGGCCCTGAAGAGGCTCGACCTGAGCGGCCACGACTTCTCCCGGGGCCTCCTGCGGCCCCTCCAGCAGCTCCTGGAGGAGGCCTCGCCCTCCCTGCTCCACCTGGACCTCATGGAATGCCGTCTGGGAGACTCCCAGCTGGAATCCCTGCTGGCCTCGCTGCGCCGCTGCTCCCGCCTGCGCTCGCTGGGGCTCTTCGGGAATTCCGTGTCCAGGGCCGGGCTGGGCGCTCTGGTGCGGGAGACGGCGGCGCTGCCGGAGCTGAGCCTGGTGGTGTATCCCATCCCCACGGATTGCTACGGGCAAGGGATGGATCCCAGCCAGGCCTCAGAGGAGCATCTGGACAGGGAATGTTTGGGAGCACTGGGCACGGAGCTGGAGCGGCTCCTGGAGAGCTCCGGGAGAGCCGGAGCCGTCTGGACCTGCGACCCCTACGGACACGCGGGGCTGGATTTCTTCTCCCTGTAGCTGGGGGAGCGCTCGGACCCCTAGGGAGGAGCTCAGGGCATCAGGACCTCCTTCTTCCAAGGATTTGGGGGTGTCCCGCCTCGGCTGGGCGGGGTTTGCCTCCTCCCGGTGTTTTCCAACTTTAATTTCAGG